GTCACTGATAATTTATTTTATCCTGAGGCAGTTGACTTGCAGAGGCATAGTCTACAAAGCCTAGGATGTTGCCACTCAATGGTTTACATTTTGGGACACCTCTTAAGTTTGTAGCACTGCAGTTCAAAGTGTTAATATTTAGAGGGACTTCTAGATTTTATGCATAATGCAGTAGAACCTTGAAGTATATTTAAGCTATTTGGTTTAGATTAAGCAGTTGGCAAGAAAAATGTGAGTGCCTACCTGAAATAGAATGGTACGTTACCACTTTTAAGTTTTAAAAAGTGATAGACGTTCAGATGCATCTCAAACTTGGTTTTATTTTTATTCCAAACATTGTGAATGAGAAGCCATTGTCAAAAACTTTGGCCATTTTTGCTCTATGGACATGCATCTTTAAGTTATAAGGTAAATCAGACAATATGTAATACAGTATTAGGATATAATAAGCTTTGCTTTTATAGTACAGTTAAAACAATTACCTTTTATTTGCACCGTCTTAACTAATATTTTTTATTTTTACTAGTCGTGTCGCTTTGCAAAAAAATTGTTTGGCTGCATTGCTAATATTTGTAAGTGTAAATCGCTTCAAGGTTGTGCTGATGAGTAGATAGGTTGTAGTGGTCTTAGCAATTGAAAGGGAGGGTATTTATTATACAAACTGTGAACTGCAATGACATCCTTAGTTTTGGATGATGTGTATTCTTGTTTTTTCTTTGCAGCATTTTAATGAAGATTGCTTTGAAGTGTTTACGCAGTAGCACATTTACTATAAACTTTAGTTTAGCACAGTGGACAAAAGTAGTTAAATTAATAACTTAAAATCAGTCTCTAATTTATACATCTAAAGTCTAGCATTCCTGTAGCACACAGTAAATAATGGGTAGCCTGGGCTCTGTGTTGCTTTCTCATATTTGTATCCAAGTTATCAGCTTCTTATTGCTGTGTTGTTGTGCTAAACTTTGAACCTTATTTCTTTTGTTAAAAAATCAGTACTTTCTATTATTTAGTAAGATACTGGCCATAATCTTCCATTGTTATAATTTTAATTTTCACTCTGGGTTTACAGTGGCTGGTCTGTATAAATAATTTACACAAAGATGACTGAATGCTAATACCAGTTGCACTTAAATGAACATGCCCATTCTCATTAGCTGATGCAGTAATATATTCAGTTTATCTATGCATTGCTGGGATCTTGATATAAGATGGAAACAGTGTTTCTTATCTAAAGTTTCGATTATCAGCAAGTTGAATGGACACTTTAGTTATTTAAATATTTTTGACCAAAATCCAGAAAATGATATGAGAGAAAAATAAATTCCAGCTAGTTTAATAGATTTTTAAATGCCAATCTGTTTTTAGCCTCTTAGAGAGTGCTAGCTAGCTGGTAACGTTTACTTTTAATTCCTTGTTAAAATGAGGCAATAATTTGCAAGATTTTTGTATATATGTGTAAATCCTTCATATCTTTTTAGATCTAACTCAATATTTTCTGACTACTTCTGTCATGTATAATACCATTTTGTGCATGCTTGATGTGACATTCGTAATTGTACCACTATGACTTTATTCATGTAAAATAGCTATTTATTGAACTTTCTTTTAAAAGCTGGGTTTACTGGTTTTTTTTTTCCTCTCCGTTTAAGCATCTTAACAGAGAATTTGTTACTGTTTATTAAAAGAATTGCGTTTCAAAGCATGAAAATATCTGATTTACGATCATATGAAGAAATAACACCTTTATTATCAAGTGTTAAAAGCACAATTCTTATAACAAACTGTGATAAATTCTTTTTTTTTTCCTTTTGCCGCATTATTTTCATATGAACAAACCAAAAATTCATGGTGAGCAGTTGCAGTGTTGGCTGATGTATCTTTTATGTACAGGGAATTTGAAGAGGACAGTGGATTCATTTAGAAGTGTAATTGGTGCTGTGATTATAGCAATACTTTACTTTTGTTAGTCATATTTCATCTTTTCCATGCTAGCTTTTTAAATGTTTAGTTTTCCTCTTGTCATGGTCAACTGCTGAATTACTTGAAAGATGTAGAATACTGTTTTAAAAATACTAAAGTCTGTACAATTAGGTCAAAGAATTGTGCAATCGTTTCCTTTTTAATTTTTAAAATTGAGGGTCATAAATATTTGAGAACGTCAGATCTAATAGAGCGTAGTGATACTATTTAATTTAACCAAAGTCTCTAGTAAATACTTCAACTTTGAATGTAAACTAACAAATAAACCTGACCACCAAGGAGATTGTTTGCCCAGAGTTTCAAAGCACATTGTCTACAAATGGAAATTGAAATAATTTATAAAAAATATCGACATTACTATGTTTTTTAAAAAGTTCCTAATTTTTTCACTAAAAGGAGGAAACTATTAGTTTTATTGTTAAATATGGTAAATAATATTCCTCTTAGATGACCAGTGGCTTCAATTGTCCCAGTTTGAAATAAGTACCCTGTGAGTATGAGATAAATTAGTGACAATCAGAACAAGTTTTAGTATCCGATGTTCAAGAGGAAGTTGCTATTGTTGCATTGATTTTAATATTTGTACATAAACACTGATTTTTTTGAGCATTATTTTGTATTTGTTGTACTTTAATACCTGGTGTACAGTTCCAGAAATAAAAATCTGGAAATCTTTTTTTTCTTGGTTCGTGTGAATGAATATTTGCCAAAATTTTTTTTAACAAATCCTAAGCTACACCAAAATAGGTAGATTATACCAGTTTTAAACTGATTTTAGATGCAGTAAATAAGTATTTGATAGGTACGTAATAAAATCAGTAGATAAATTTTTCTTAAATTCCCTGTAATAGTTTTCCATCTATAATAAAATTCTAATTATCCCAAAGCAAGGATTTTAGTTTAATTCAGAAAACATTTGTTGAATGTCTCATGTTTCAAACACTGTTCTAGGCAAATGTGCCTTTTTGTAAAACATAGTATCTGAAATTTGATCAGATATGATAGGCAGACTAGTATTTATGATTGACTACTCTCCCTTATCTAAACTATTCAGTTTTCATCAACTCAGATCTTTCCTAAGCCTTCATATTTTCAAGCCATAGATCTCATTTAGCCTAATTTCTCATGTATGTCCCTGTATTTCATTTGCTCTGACTAGAGCTTTCTCTAGCTCCATTCTTTTTTTTTTTTTTAGTATTAGGGATTGAACTCAACGGGCACTTAACCACTGAGCCACACTGAGTTGCTTAGTGCCTCCCCATTGCAGAGGCTGGCTTTGAACCCGAGATCCTCCTGTCTCAGCCTCCTGAGCCACTGGTGATTACAGGCATGTGCCATAGTTCCATTCTTACAATGCCCTTACCTACCAGCTGGGCACAGTGGTACAATGCAGTTATCAGATTGCACATAACAGATTTTGTACAAGGTCAAGAAAGGGACAAATAAAAGCAAACACCTCTACTATGCCTTGGTTACTTGTCTAGAACTACATTCTTTCATTCTTAGACACCAAAGGGCTTTCCTGTGAGAGATTTGTGGTCCATGCATGCACAGAAGCACCACAAGTATTTAGAACACAGCCAAACATGCTGTCAAGTGCTATAAGAGCTACATGGGATTTCAGGAGAAGCCCTGTGAAAGCAGAATAATCTCCAGTAACTTCTAGGGACATCATGGCCAAGATATTCCTAACTGGCTTCTCTGTTTCCACTTCTGGAATTTCCTAATTGTGTCTCTACTGTAATATGAGCTTTCTGGTCATAAGTGCTATTCAGAAAAATGGGGAAGTGGAATGGGGAATGCTGGACAGGAGTAGGGTGTTGTGAATTTCAACAAGGTGGTTAGATAAGCCTCACTGAGAATGTGACAGAAAGGGAGAGAAAGAACTACAAGACTATCTGGGGGAAGGTCTCTGCAGGCACAGTACAATTTCCCTGAGGAAGGTGTGGCTGGGATGGAATGAGTGGGGAAGAACAGATGAAATTTGAGATAATAAGCAGCTAGATCATGTATGTGAAGGACTTCAGCATTTACTCTTATATTAGATGAGTTTTGAACAGGAGTGTGTCAAAAACCTGACTTTGATTTAAAATAATCACTCTTGGGGCTGCGCTTGTGGCTCAGTGGTAGAGTGCTCACCTAGCATGCACGAGGCACTGGGTTCAAGCCTTAGCACCACATAAATGTAAGATAAAGACATTGTGTCCACCTAAAACTTAAGAATAAATATTTAAAAAAAAATAATAAAATAATCACTCTTGGAGATTTCTGTGAGGGGCAGGAGTGGAAAAAGGGAAACCAATTAGGAAGCCATTGAAATTGCAATAAACTAGTGAGTAAAGCTGGTAAGCCCAGCAGTGAAGGTGGTCAGAATCTGATTATACAGTTTCCATGAGGATTTGCGGGGATCAATAAATATCCTCCTTCCTACCCAAGTTTGGAATTGATAGTTTGAACAGGAGTTAGGTGGATGAAGATCAAAGTAACATTACTAATAAAAATCAGGCAGGTGGCCTCAGAGCTGCAACTGTACAGGCTTACATTTTTTCTCCACAAAGAAAGAGCTGGAGAAGTGGGCTATGGGTGCCTAGTTCTCCAGAAGACACCCAGAAAACTGGTCTTCTCTAATGAGTGGAAAGAAGCTAGAAGCATTACTAAAGGAAGCCCTACACAGAACTATGAGCCATGCAGAAGAGAGAGATTCCTAACAACTATCCTTTACTTGTATTCTCAGGCTAAAATATCTTTCTTGCACACTGCCAGAAATTTGTGTGTGTGTGGAATTTTTCAATAAGAAAATAATGACCTTACATTTCCCCTTACTCAGTTGAAACGACCTTTAAAATTACACATGTACACACCAATTTACTTATAGCAACCAAAGGTATGTTTTACTTTATCCTATAAAAATAAATGTTTTTACAAAAGTTTGTAAACATTAACAGTACTACTAGAATTGCTGATGCCTGGCTAAATTTTATAAACCATCACAGAGGTATACAAAATAAATACAAGAAAAATTGAAACTATAAGTCCAAGTAGTTTTAATAAGTTATTGTGTATTTAAGTGAAAATCAATTAGAACTCAAATTGCATTACAAGTTTGAAATTGTAATGAAGCAAATAACTTTTATCATTGAAAATGGAACGTAAATATATATTAATAAAAACATACTCCATTAGATTTCAAAATATTTGTTCTACAGGTAGAACTCAGAGAAGTGATTAACAAAAATACACTTAGATTTAATAGCTAAGTAAAAAACCTAATTTCTAATTCGCCAAGTTAGCTGACAATTGTGTAGTAGTTTGAAAAAAGCTCTTCTCCTTGCTCAATATCCCTAAGTGCAATAAGAACAACACATCGAAGTGGGCTGAAAAGAGAAAAATAAGCAAAAAAATAAAGTATTAATAAGTATGTTCACATTTTTATTATAACTTTCTCTCAGATTCCTTACATTTTAGTTTATACAATTTGCCTGAGGAAATAGTGCTTTTCCTGATGCAGGTATTCTAAAATAGAGTATGTCTGTTTATAACATTTAGGACCACAAATCAGTAAGTTTATACAACCAACCAACTCTTCTGAAATTGTTTCTATGGGTCTCTAAAACTGGTATCACATAAAGAATTTTAATCCTTTTAAAAAGATTATAGTTAGCCATTCTTTTATTAATTTGTATCTCATATTCTCAAAAACAACATAACTGGAAACTTTTAAAATACTTTTTTTCTGAAACAACAAGCTGCTTATATGCCTTCAAACCTCCTGGAGTATAAGGCTAAGAAAACCTAATTATTAAACACTAACATACACATGTAAAGACATAAAGTTACTAAATTTTAAGTATAGTGAACAGTCCCAAGTTTTCAACATCATTCATTGTGAAAGGACAATTTAATAGGTCCCATATAGCTGGATGTGATGACACATGCCTGGAATCTCAACTGTTCTCCTGTAATCCCAGCTACTCACCTGCGATCCCAGCTATTCTGGTGGATGAGGCAAGAGGATAAAAGAAAATTCAAGACCAGCCTGAGCAATTTAGTGAGACCCTGTCTCAAAATAAAATTCTAAAAAAAGAGATGGAGATGTAGTTCAGTGGTAGAGAACTTGTGCATGAGGCCCTGGGTTCAAGTCTCCTGTAACACACACACACACACAGGTCTCATATAAAATAAAGGTTGTTAGCAACTCAGTGAAGTGACAAAGAATATATCTTCCAGGCTGGGGCTGTAGCTCAGTGGCAGAGCACCTGCCGAGCACGTATCAAGCACTGGGTTCGATCCTTAGCACCACATATAAATAAATAAATAGAATAAACGCACGCTGACCATCTACAACTACAAAAAACTTAGCTCTCCAGATTACTTATATTTAAAATTGTTAAACTTGAGTATTCCCACTTAACAGAAAATAAATGTTACTCTAAAAATATGTCTTCTAGATATAGTCTTTTTTTCACAATTAGATTTAATTGTGAAATGAAGAAAGGAAACAATAGTGTAATTTGGCCCCTTTCTTCAGGTAGTAACTTTTTTCTATGGTAGAGCAAATGATGCTTAAAAAGATTAAAGTAAAAATATATTTGAAGGGCTGGGGATGTGGCTCAAGCGGTAGCGTGCTTGCCTGGCATGCGCGCGGCACTGGGTTCGATCTTCAGCACCACATACAAATAAAATAAAGATGTTGTGTCCACCCAAAACTAAAGAATAAATATTTAAAAATTCTCTTTCTTTCTCTAAAAAAAATTTTATATATATATATATATATATATATATATATATATATATATATATATATATATATATATATTTGAAGATTTTGTGGGTAGGAAAATAACAAAATCACTTGAAAATAACAAAATACCTCTAGGGATAAGACCTGTAAAGTACTGCATAATCACTCTTATGATTACGGGGTAAAATGGGTAATAAAAAACAGAATGAGGGGCTGGAGTTGTGGCTCAGCAGTGGAACGCTCACCTAGCACGTATGAGACGCTGGGTTCGATCCTCAGCACAACATAAAAATAAATAAATAAAATAAAGGAATTGTGTCCAACTACAACTAAAAAAAAAAAGGAGAATGACCTAAGTTAAAGAAAAGTTTTTACTTTTATATAAGCCTACATTAACACACTAAGGTGTCGTGAACATAAAAATATCAATTACATATATGTGTGTATCTGTGTGTGTGTGTATTTGTGTGTGTGTGTGTGTTAGTGTGTGTGTGGGCAGTGGGGAGTATTGGTATTGAACTCAGGGGCATTCAACCACTGAACCACATTCCCAGCCCTATTTTGCATTTTGAGACAGGGTCTTACTGAGTTGCTTAGCTGAGGCTGGTTTTGAACCCGTGATCCTCCTGTCTCAGCCTTCCAAACTGCTGGGATTATAGGCATGTGTCACTGTGCCCAGCATCTGCATATATTTTTGATATAGATAATTTATGTATAATGTATATGTGTGTGTATATGTATTTTATATATATATATATATATATATATATATATATTTTTTTTTTTTGGCGGGGCGGGGGTAGTGGTGGTAGGGATCAAATCCAGAGCCTCACACATGCTAGACAAATGCTCTACTACTAAGCTACATCTCCAGTCCTTTACTTTTCACTAAAAAAATTCTACCCCAAATTCTTTATAGCTTTTTCTTATAAATTATATTTAAGTACAGTAAAAGAAAGAAAATAGAAAATGCTCTTAGAATACTAACCTTTGTTTTTCATAACTGTAGGCAATGTTTGGAAGATACTGCTTCAGTTCTACAGGGAAAACTGCAGGCACATCAAATTCCTGATAACAGACATTAGCTGCTCTGTCTAGGAACAGGCACATATTTTTGAGAAACAGCCATCCATGCATGATACAAACTCAGGGAAAACTGTATTGATTAATGATATCCAATGTATGGTTTTCAAAATTATTGGAACATGCTCAAAATAATAATTATTATTATGTTTCAGGCACTGTTAGATTTTACATGTATATCTAATATATATGAACAAATAATATATAAAATAAATATTGAAAAAGGAGTGAATAAATAATATAATGGAAATAAAATAAAATTTTAAAAGTAAAGCATATATATTTATATCTTATATGTAAACCTATATAATATTTATGTGTTTTACTGTTTACTTTTAAAATATCATGAAATAAACACTCAAAATAGTTAATGGTTAAACAAAGAAGTCAGGCTCTGAGTTCATGTCTCCCATACACCAAAGTCTACATGCTAGTTGTAGCCCAGAAAATTAAGTCTTAAAAAAAGTGACTCATAAATTTAGCAACAAAAGGGGGATATAGGTCTAGTGATAAGGCTATATCAACAGTGATAAAGTAATCTCTAAATTAACTATTCAAAAAATGCTAAAATAATAATGATCAAAAGGTTACAGTCGATTGTCTATGTTCACTGAAAAATCAGAACAAAAATCATAAATTAAAGATTTTCAAATAATGTATATCATTATTTCCCCAAATTCTCTCTGTGATATCTTCTCTTAAAAACAGTTATATTTGGGGCCAGGGTTGTGGCTCAGTGGTAGAGCGCTTGCCTAGCATGTGTGAGACACTGGGTTCCTTCCCCGGCACCACATAAAAACAAATTGAAAAAAGGTATTGTGTCCATTTACAGTTAAAAAATATATATTTAAAAAAGAAAAGTTATATTTGCTTAAAGACTTAGAATAGCTGTAACGACACAAATGCCTTTGGCACTCGTCATCTGGCAAAGAATTAGCCATTGCTGTACCTTGTCTCATAGCCCCATGATGTAAAATTACCATTTGAACAATTGTTGACATACTGTCCGATGGCCAGTGGATTATGAATTTCTGATGTTAGCCATGTACTATCACTCATTTTTAAAGGTCCAAGTCGATCTCTTCCATTACAAGATCTGAAACAGGTGAAAGCATCAGCTAAGGAACTCTTATATCTTCAAATAAAATACCAAATTAATACTACAACTAAACAAGTGGAATTTCTCTGTTAAAAATGCTTGTCAAGACACCTGAGTAGCTACATAGTAGTCACCTAAATTTTCATTTAAAGTACAAATGCTGTAGGTTATAATTATGCCAGTAACTGTGGTTCTTTATCCTATAATTACATTTGAATATGGGCATCACCTACCTGTACACAACCTTTGATATCCCTTTGTCATTTCCATCAATGAGTACCCCATCCAGGCATCTAAAAATAAATGGATTTCCAATGGACTGGAAAAAGATTGGCTCATACTTTTGATATACTGTACCTATTATACAATAAAATAAAGACATATTATAGCAACATGTAAAAATCATAAAAATCCTGAGGAGGATTTCCTTTCTCCGGGACATGAACATAAGACAGAAAAATCTGTTTTAATTTCTCCATCACATTCTCTTTGGTTATTTTCCCTCTTTAAAGAGACTGCACTCGGGCTGGGGATATGGCTCAAGCGGTAACACGCTCGCCTGGCATGCGCGGGGCGCTGGGTTCGATCCTCAGCACCATATAAAAATAAAATAAAGATGTTGTGTCCACCAAAAACCGAAAAATAAATATTAAAAAATAAAAAAATAAAGAGACTGCACTCAATGACAGGCGGAGCACAGAACCAACAGTCCACACCTCAGAACAAAAATATAACTATCTTGCTTAACTAGAAATATGAACTGTTACATATTAGATTCAGTTTTACAAAGTCATATATAAATATATATTTTAAAGTAGAATGGGATTTGATATCTACTAAAGGGTATTTTAAGAAATACAGTTTGCTAATAAATAAGGTAGACATATACAGGAATAAAAGAATCTGACATTCAGGCTTTTTCTCCTCTTACTGGCAAAAGAGGAAAGGAGGCTGGGGGTGTTGGCGCATGCCTATAATCCCAGTGGCTCAGGAGGCTGAGGCAGAAGGATCATGAATTCAAATCCAGCCTCAGCAACTTAGCAAGGTCCTAAGCAACTCAGTGAGACCCTGTCTCTAATAAAGTATTAAAAAAAAAAAAAGGGCTGGGGATGTGGCTCAGTGGTTAAGAACCCCTGAGTTCAATCCCCGGTAAACCCCACTGCAAAAAAAAAAAAAGGAGAAATTAATATTTACTGAATGTTTCCTATGTGCCAGTCACATTAATCTATTAAATTTATTTTACTATTAATTTGTTGACCTATTCTGTTGAATCTTTACAGCTGGGTTAGTTGTACAGGAGGAAACTGAGACTTGTGTGTTTAGGGATATAAAGTAAGAAAATAATAGAATGACTTTTTAAAAACATAAGTCTAACTCAAATATTCACACACACATTTTCACTATATATACCAAATAAGAGAAAGTTAGTTTAACAAATAACATATTCTACTGATCATTCTAATCAATAATGTTTTGCAAAGAAGCTGCTTTACTTGTATACTTCACAGGTATAAACAGTAGGAAAGTCTTTATTCAGTGATTTGTGAGTTTGAATTCTTTTGTTTTAACTTATATAGTTACCAACTAAGTCAAACTGCGTTATTCTCTAATGCTTTCTAAGTAACTTGTCAAAGTGGGCCATACTGTGTTTTAAATTTAAACACTGATTAGAAAGATTTCATTAAGGGGCTGGGGATGTGGCTCAAGTGGTAGCGCGATCGCCTAGCATGCGTGAGGCACTGGGTTCGATTCTCAGCAACATATAAGATAAAATAAAGATATTGTGTCCACCTAAAACTAAAAATAAATATTAAATAAAGATTTCCTTAAAATAAAAATAATTTATCTCAACAGATACTCCAGGATACTTTCTAAAACATACAACATAATTTATGAATAGTTAACTACCAAATTAGAATTTTAAAAATAAATGGAAATCTTTCCAGTTCAACCCCCTACTCTAAGTATTACAGGGCTAGATATTTGCTGAACTTTTATGCATTGATCTATAAGAAACTCTTGGCAGTACTAGTTGAGCTGTTACCAGGATACATAGATACAACTGCGCCTTTTGGTACCAATCCTTTAGTAACGAAGACACCTCTTCCAGCAGAAATCAGTGAGCTAGTTGCTCGAGCAACACTGAAACCCAATGTCTTATAAAGAATTTCTTCTGGTTTAAAGATATTTTGCTGTTGATGTTTGTTTTCAAGTAGATTCACCCTTTGATACTGAACTGCCAGCAGGTCTTGATATTTTGACTTAACGGGTTCTGGAAGGATAGTCAAGATATCTGACTGTTTATGGAAATCATTTAAGAATAGAGCCTGGAAAACTTTCAGTAATGTTCCTAGGACATCTTCATCTGAGATAATTTTGTCTTTGGATTCCTCTGGAACATATCGAAGAGTCCTGAAAATGGGAAAAGTTTCATTCACTACCCTTCAACTAACAGAAGCCAGACTGACTTTATTTTCTAAATTACTGGCCTTAATGAACTGCAAGCTTATTCTCATGTGTGTAAAGAGCATGCAACTGAAGTCAAAAAGAATTGTTTGGGGGGGTAGCTCTAGTTACCTAACTCCAATAAAAGTAGTCAATATTTATGACAGGCCCATTCTGTGTCACAGGCTTTTGGGTCCTTATTCCATCTTTACAGTCAAAGAAACTGAAACTTGGAGATGATAGGGAACTTTCCCAACGTCCTACCGAGAGTGCAGAGTCAGAAACAGAAATGTAGCTCAGCTTTTTTTCCTCATTACACCCAATAGCCATTTGGATATTATAAGAATCGTTGCATTACAACTGCTTTTTTCTCAGGCTTGTACTTTCAGAAACAAACTTTATATCATTTGTCCTACTCCCTCCAGGAGTACACGCTTTAATTACATCACTTTTATTTCCACAACTGTATTGTTTCTTGTACTAATTGTACTTTTACTTCTGAAGAAAAATGTATCAAATCTGGTCTCACCATTCTATAGGAATGATGCACCTGAATTCATGCTTCTGTAGTATGAATCTTTGGGAAAGCTCCTCTGTTCGCCAGTTTTTCAGAAACTGGCCTTCGGTTACCAGTCTGCCTATTTGGGTGAGCGCGGTGCTTGCTTCTTGCAGCTCACCAGGACGATCTTAATACCAGCCACCACACTAACCCCATGAAGACTGACCCCCCTATCATAAACCCAACACTTCGTCGTGTCTTCGGCTGCTTCGTGCACTTATTAATGCGTTAGCTACTCCAAGCTTGTTACCCTTACAGTCAGCTGCGTGGTTTTCACCCCATAAATTACTAATACGGAGAATTCAAAATAACCTGGGCTTTTCTGAATTTCAAACAATCTAACCATCCCCGGGCGGAGAAAAGGCCAGCACTCTGACGAGGTAAAGACTTTTTAAGTTTCTAATTTTGTCCAAATACAGCATTCCAGCAAGCTCGCACCAGAAAAGAATACGCGCCACCACAGACGCGGACCACGCCAGCCTTGCAGACTTCGCAGGCCTAGCAACGCGGCGCCTACCGGGAAAGAGGTGACATGCCCCGCCCTCCTAAGGCCAGCGCCCGCTTCAGACCTCCAGCCGGCCAAGGACTCCAATTAGCCTCAGCCTCGCCCGCGGCAGGCCCCGCCCACCCCGGGCCCGCCCACCTAGGTTCCGCCCCTCTCAGTCCCAAATGGGCGACCTCAACTCCGCCCTCCTCGGCCTGCCTGCCTTCTGCTTCGCACCCGCCAAACTAGTACCGGGCCTCAGGCTCGGCCCCGCTGCCAGCCCTAGGCCCTTCGGTTGCCTCGGCTTCTTCAGGCTCAGGCTCCTCCCGCTTCAGGCCCGGCGGCCCTAGCGGCGCCGCGGGCTGTAGGAAGGCGTCTGGTCCGGCCGCCCGGCTCTCTCACCTCGGGTTGTGGCTTAAGTTCAGCGCGATCCAGGGAACGAAGCGGTACTTGTAACGGCGCCATCGCTGCCACAGGCACCGCAGCAGGCGGCCCATCATGGCTACCCGCTGGCGCCGTGACGGGGACCGCGCGGGAGAGGCGGGTCGAGGTCTCGGGTCCGCCCGGCCTGGGGAGGAGCGGGGTGCGCTGTCCCGCCCTCCAGGTCTCCATTCTCGGCATCCCTGGCACCGCCTGGTTCCTCTCGCCCGCTGGGTTCGGCCCTTTGACCCAGCTCATTAAATCAATCGCGTGGAGCTGGAGGGGGACCTGTTCCCCTTTCCTTTCTTCAACCATTGTGTATTTTCGTTCGTGAACACGCACACTAGACCTGATTGAGCGCAAAAGTCACAGGGCTCCAAGGGGCTCCTGCCCTGGAGGAAGGCGTGCGAGGAGTGGGCTCCTGGTTTCTTTCTCACGGATTGTCCAGCTGGTCCTGGCTGCTGATCTCGCCGAGCATGTCTGCTCTGTTCCGCAAGCTCCTGTCCATTCTGCTCTTATTCTCTCCTCTCTCCGTTGCCTCTTAGCAGTAGCCTGAGTCTCCCTGAACCAGTTTCCGTGGTACCGCAGACCTCAGGTCCTTCCATCCCAGCCAACTCGTTACCACAAAGTTATCAATGTGGGAATTTCGCGAGTATATGAACTTAACTAATGGGACAAAATGTGATGATGCCTGTTTTCACTCTAGTTTTTCTCTTCATTCTCCCAAAAACCCCAAGGCAAATCTACGTAGACAAATTGATTCTTAAAAGCAGCTTTAGTTGGCATTCGAATAACTGCACACGCTTAAAAGGATCAGTTTGATAAAGTTTTGACACATACATCTGTGAAATTATCACCACAATCAAGATAATGAGCATATCCATCATACCCAAAAGATCCCTCATGACCTTCTATAAGCCCTTCTTCCAGCCCCTCTTTCCAAACTCCAAGCAACCATTGATCTGTTTTGTGTCACTAGATTAGTTTGATAATGATGCATTATCCTTTTAATATGTCCTTGGGTTCATTTGGTAAAATTTTGTTTAGAAGCTTTGATTTGTTGTTGTTGTTGTTGTTGTTTTTGGCTTGCACATTCAATTTATTTTTTATTCATTTATTTAATTTTTATTTAACAAATACTTATTTTTTTGCATTTTTTATTTTTTAAATACACGACAGCAGTGGAAAGCATTACAATTCTTATTACACATATAAGGCACAATTTTTCATATCTCTGTATATAAAGTATGTTTACAGCAATTTATGCCTTTATACATGTACTTTTTTTTGCATTACAATTCTTAATACACATATATACCACAATTTTTTTTGTATTTTTTTTTTGTAATGCCCTTTTTCAGGTTTGGTATTTAGAATAATACTTACCAAATAATGGGATGAATTATTCCCTCTACAGGTGATATTAGAAAAGACAACTCCTCTCCATAACACACACACACACACACAAATACCTGGTTTGGACAGAGCAATTACAATGGGGACAAACTACAAGTATCCATTAACCATTTTCAAATCAACACATTTATTAGGAAATAAATGTGTTGGTGCCATTTCCTTGGCTTCCATAGTCTGCCTGAGAGTAAATCCCAACCTAAAGTTGAAACTGAACATCTCAGATATAGTGAAAATCCAGGCAGATGCCAGTGGTCTCACGGATATTTTGTTCTATTCTAAAAGAAATAATGGGAAATAAAGTATTTGCCAACATCTCTCTTTATTTCAATCCTAATATCATGTAGGATGTTGGCAAAGTCTAAGGGCTTTTCCCTTGGACTCTTTGCTTGGTAACTTGGCATTCTTCATATTTACCTGATTTGCTAAATGGAGTCAACTGAGCTCCAGACAAAGAAAGAGTCTTTAAGGTGTCCGTATCTAAAAAGAACCAAAAAGAATTAGTTGAATTTTTTCCTATAGTAATGTACTTGTCTTTAAAAAGAACACTTTTAAAATTTATTTCCCATGCTTACTAGATTTATGGTATTAAGATTAATTTTTTTTATTTTTTATTTTTTATTTTTTTTTATCCACACAATTACATATTTTATTTGTGAAAAAAAAATACTCCCGCCATCTTGCCAGGCAGTGCAGAAAGCAAACATTTATCTCCACATAATTCACACATTTTTTCTTCATTCCCAACAACGCCTAAATGGCCTAAATGATAAATTAAACATTTGGCTAAAACATACCAAGATCCCAAGTGTAAATGGTGAGACTGCACCCTGCTTTTAGTAATAAGTGAGGTAGTAAATATTAGATGAATCAATAAGCTTCTCAGAGAATGACTTCACCAAAATGCTACTCATACCAGGGCAAGGAACCATATTTGAACTCTTTCCTTTCTGATGGTTGAAAAACACATTTAATTCCCCATAGAGCAAAGGTCTCAGGTCTCTCTCTCTCTCTCTCTCTCTCAACACACACACACACACACACACACCAAGGCGGTTGAAAATACAAAATCCGAGGATGCACAAGTCCTTTATAAAAAATGGTACAGTGTCTACATACAACCCTTGCACATCCTCTGATATACCTTAATTCATCTCCATGTCACTTACAATACCTAATATAATGTGCTATGCAAATAGTTATTATACTTCATTGTTTAGAAATAATGTAATGACAAGAAAAAAGGCTATGTTATTAGACACAATTTTTTTTCTGAATAGATTTGGTTCAGTGTTAATTGAATGTACAGATATCAAGTTCAGGGATCTGGAGGACTGACTGTATACACACATGCACACACATACACACACACACATCTCACACTGGATCTTGAACCCATAATCATGTCATAAGTTAAACAAAATTGATTTCACAGTCTGAGCAGAGGGAAGTACTAAGAATTTGGGATCAAACAGCTATAACCTGTGTTAGAATGATGTTGGAAGTCTCTGTTGCTTTCTTCAAGTCTATGTAGGGGAAACAATGACTCCTTTGTAAAATGATTGAGCAAATTGACTTGCACCTGGTAGATGGTAGGCACTAGCTAAATGAAAACTGGTAGCATTAATCATATAACTGATGAGTTCACTTATCAGAGGTTGAGATTCTACTCTCCTCTCTGGACTAACATCCTGGGGCCCTAGACATACCCTTATTTGATGCATTGGTACATATTTCAGCTCATATAATTTTTTTCTATTACTCAATTTAATTCACCTTCTGACCCTTCATTGTACATATTGGGAGATACTTACATTCAGGTAAATCAGGGTCCTTCCTCCATCTTTTCTCTGGGGTTCTATCATGATTTAGAGTTAACAAAAGAAAAGTATTAGCTCACAGCCTAGTGAAGGAGAAAGATTTTTTTAATCTAATTTTTCCACATTTGTATGGGTGCATTATATTTGTACATAATGGTGGAATATACATGCACACAATATCACAATACAATTTGGTCAATATCATTCAATAAATCTATTTTAAAGCAAAAAAAAAAAGAAAGCACTATCATAGTAGAATGACATTTTGAAACATTTAGAACCATTTCTTATTTAGAACTCCATGTTTTGGCATTATTACAGTATCGTGGGAATCTTTGCAAAAAGGATATTATAGCAAAAGATAGACTGAAATTTTTGAGTTTCAAAAGCCTAATCCCTGGGAACTCAGAGACAACAGGATGGGGTTAGAGTAAGTCTTTTTTGTTTTTTTAATTTTTTAATATTTATTTTTTAGTATTTCTTTTTTTTAAATTTTTGTTGTTGGTTGTTCAAAACATTACATAGTTCTTGATATATCATATTTCACACTTTGATTCAAGTGGGTTATGAACTCCCATTTTTACCCCATATACAGATTGCAGAATCACATCAGTTACACATCCATTGATTTACATATTGCCATACTAGTGTCTGTTGTATTCTGCTGCCTTTCCTATCCTCTACTATCCCCCCTTCCCTCCCCTCCACTACTCTCTCTCTACCCCCTCTACTGTAATTCATTTCTCCCCCTTGTATTTTTTTCCCCTTTCCCCTCACTTCCTCTTGTATGTAATTTTGTATAACCCTGAGGGTCTCCTTCCATTTCCATGCAATTTCCCTTCTCTCTCCCTTTCCCTCCCACCTCTCATCCCTGTTTAATGTTAATCTTCTTCTCATGCTCTTCGTCCCTACTCTGTTCTTAGTTACTCTCCTTATATCAAAGAAGACATTTGGCATTTGTTTTTTAGGGATTGGCTAGCTTCACTTAGCATAATCTGCTCTAATGCCATCCATTTCCCTGCAAATTCTATGATTTTGTCATTTTTTAATGCAGAGTAATACTCCATTGTGTATAAATGCCACATTTTTTTTATCCATTCGTCTATTGAAGGGCATCTAGGTTGGTTCCACAGTCTTGCTATTGTGAATTGTGCTGCTATGAACATCGATGTAGTAGTGTCCCTGTAGCATGCTCTTTTTAGGTCTTTAGGGAATAGACCGAGAAGGGGAATAGCTGGGTCAAATGGTAGTTCCATTCCCAGCTTTCCAAGAAATCTTCATACTGCTTTCCAAATTGGCCGCACCAATTTGCAGTCCCACCAGCAATGTACAAGTGTACCCTTTTCCCCACATCCTCGCCAGCACTTGTTGTTGTTTGACTTCATAATGGCTGCCAATCTTACTGGAGTGAGATGGTATCTTAGGGTGGTTTTGATTTGCATTTCTCTGACTGCTAGAGATGGTGAGCATTTTTTCATGTACTTGTTGATTGATTGTATGTCCTCCTCTGAGAAGTGTCTGTTCAGGTCCTTGGCCCATTTGTTGATTGGGTTATTTGTTCTCTTATTGTCTAATTTTATGAGTTCTTTGTATACTCTGGATATTAGGGCTCTATCTGAAGTGTGAGAAGTAAAGATTTGTTCCCAGGATGTAGGCTCCCTATTTACCTCTCTTATTGTTTCTTTTGCTGAGAAAAAACTTTTTATTTTGAGTAAGTCCCATTTGTTGATTCTAGTTATTAACTCTTGTGCTATGGGTGTCCTATTGAGGAATTTGGAGCCCGACCCCACAGTATGTGGATCGTAGCCAACTTTTTCTTCTATCAGACGCCGTGTCTCTGATTTGATATCAAGCCCTTGATCCATTTTGAGTTAACTTTGGTGCATGGCGAGAGAAAGGGAT